CCTGCTGAATAGGAGCAAGCAGCCAGGGCTAGTGATGCCATGCCAGTCTGGAGGCATGAAGTCACTCTGAGAGTGCTTGCAGGCCTAGTGTTGCCATTGCCAACAAAGACAAATTGATGCAAAGGAGGATGGAAAAGTCTCCATATCTCTATTTTGCCCTAAATTGGTTTTGATGCCAGCAGAGTGAGAAAATGCCAGAGGTTCTGGGTGGGTGCCCCATGGTAAATGCACCAAACAATTCCTAAAGATTTTCCAAAACACTACTCTGTCGATAAATCATTTTCTACACGCACAGCGTCTCCTGCCAGAACGCAACTCATCCCCAGCACTTTGAATTAGTACCAGAGCTTTTTTTGCCTTGTGGTATTCTGCTTGTGGTGTGAACTGTCTGTTTTGTGATGTGGCATGGTTGTGTTATTGGGCTTGTTTCTTTTGAAGGGGAAGTGTTGTGAGAGGACATATTTTACCTCGGAATACACGAGGTCGTATAAGCAACTGACAGTTCCAACTGTCTTGGGGGGGGAGGTTGAGGTGCGGAATGAAGTCCAATCAGCTTCCATATGCAAATGACCTTGATATGCTGGCCCAATCAGAGAAGAGTGGCCTAGGCTGCAGTGGGTGGGAGAGAACTCAGGCAACTCAGCTAGTGGATAGGGATAGGTTCTGAGTGACATATCAGGGAGCCAACTGATTTTGCCGAGCATAGAACTTTGCCACCCCAACTGGCTTTTATATTTATAAAGAGATATCTTTCAATTTGTCCAAACTCAATGATCCACTTATAGTGCCATCCTATACATAGTTAGCCCTTCTAAGCATTGATGTCAGTGGGCTTAAAAGGGTTTCAGTATTAGGGTTTTTGTTTTAAAACCTTTCATCTCATTGTCTTTTCTGCCTTTCCCCCCCTCTCCTTATTTCTCTCTAGACTACTGTGTCTCCTTATGCATTCCCAACAGGTCAAATGGTTTATCTCATCAGGACTATTTCAAGTCAGGAAAATAGTGTGTGTATGTGTGTGTGTGGGGGGGGGAAGGGCTTTTTTAAATAGGGAAAAAAGGGTGGGGTGGGGGGGGGGGGGAGCTGAAACTTCTGATCCACAAGTATCACAGTCACAAACTGAATTTGGCACCACATGCATGGGAAATGAGGAGAACCTCAGCTCATATGTGACCAGTGTTCCCCCTAAGCTGAGTTAGTGTGAGCTAACTCACAGTTTTTTAGCCTCCAGCTCAAACATTTTTGTCTTAGCTCAAGAAGGATGGCTCCAGAGCAGACTAATTTATGCAGTCACCCAATCACTCACTCAGAACTTTAATGTCACTAGCTCACAAAGTAGATTTTTTGCTCACAGGTCTCCATAGCTTAGAGGGAGCATTGCATGTGACTGTTACACAGGACACAGGGTGTGGACCTTAGACCTGGCAATATGTGAAGATAGTTGAAGTATTTAAGTCAGTTTAATTCAGGTTACAACACTGTAAACTGTGCTGGATCTGTTAACAGCCCCAGGGCTATTGTTCCCTCTAGTGGGAGAAATATTTTATTATATACCAGGTATAATTACTATAGCTGAGATGAAGCTTCAGTTTTCCATAGGCATCTTCAGCAGCATCAAACCCTGGCTTCCCTTTCTGTCGATATTTTGCTACTTCTTGTAAAAATGTTTGCAAAATTGATTGGTTACATAATCTCAGGACATCTTGCTATTTACTACACAGTCCATAACTAGATGAGAGGTAAAGAGGCAGAGGTTTAGAAGGAAAAAGCAGTAGGTGGTGCTGCTGAAGTTAACATGATTCAACAGTATATGATAGTATGTCAGATGTGATGAATATTCATAAAATTAAACTTTTTCATGAAAAAGTTCTACCACCCAGAAATTGCTAATATTTACAAGATTAAAACTAGAAAATATTTGTTACACAGTTTAAATACAGACAAAACTGTGACAATAGAAATAAATGATCTGATGCGTGATATGCTTTGTGGCTTAACTTCTTTTCATGAGCCTTGCTATGTTATAATGTTGTACAACTTGAAGCTTTTCTGAAGGAGGTGAATTGTTTAGAACCTTTCCAATCTGGTTTTAGGATTGGTTATGGGATTGAAACAGCCTTGGCCACCCTGGTGGATGACCTGCATCAGGAGACGGACAGAGGGAGTGTGACTCTGTTTATTCTCCTGGACTTCCCCACAGGTTTCGATTCCATTGATCATGGTATCCTTCTGGACTGCCTATCTGGACTGGGATTGGGAGGCACCATTCTGCAGTGGTTCTGGTCTTACCTGGAGGGTAGGTTTCAGACGGTAGTGCTAGGTGTCTGCTGCTCAGCTCCTTGGCCTTTGGCCTGAGCTGTCCTGCAAAGTTCCACCTTGTCCGTTATGTTCTTTAATATATAGTATTTGGGTGAGGTATCTGAAGATTTAGGCTGGGTTGAAACCACTATGCACATGACACTTAAGTCTTTCTTATGCTTCTGGCTCATCTCAGAGAGACTGTAGAAACCCTGGACCAGTGCCCACAGGCAGTTTTGGAGTAGATTTGGACTAATAAACTGAACCTTAATCCTGACAAGATGGAAGTGCTACAAGTGAAGAGAAAGTTCACTGTTCCGGATGGGGTTGTGCTACCCTTGAAGGAATGGGTCTGCAGTCTAGGGGTGCTCTTGGTGGCACCTGTGGT